GCCCATGTACTTCTTCCTCAGCCACTTGTCCTTCACTGATGTCTGCTTTTCATCTGTCACTGTCCCTAAGATGCTCACGAACATGCAAACCCAGCACCTATCTATCCCCTACGAAGGCTGTATTTCACAGACATATTTTTTCATACTCTTTGCTGATCTGGACAGTTTCTTGATCACATCAATGGCTTATGACAGGTATGTGGCCATCTGTCACCCTCTGCAGTACACCACCATCATGAGTCAGAACGTTTGTGTCATTCTGGTGGCTGGGTCCTGGGTCATTGCTTCTGCTTGTGCTCTTTTGCATACTCTCCTCCTAGCCCGTCTGTCCTTCTGTGCTGACCACACTGTCCCACATTACTTCTGTGACCTTGCGGCCCTGCTCAAATTGTCCTGCTCAGACACTTCCCTCAACCAACTGGTAATCTTTACTGCAGGATTAACAGCCATTATGCTTCCATTCTTATGCATCTTGGTTTCTTATGGCCATATTGGAGCCACCATCCTCCGGGTTCCCTCTACCAAGGGCATCTGTAAAGCTCTGTCCACGTGTGGCTCTCATCTCTCAGTAGTGACTCTGTATTATGGGGCAATTATTGGTCTATATTTTCTTCCTTCATCCAACAACAGCAATGACAATAACATAATCGCGTCATTGATGTACACAGTGGTGACTCCCATGCTGAACCCCTTTATTTATAGCCTGAGAAATAAAGACATGAAAGGGGCACTGAGGAAATTCTTGCATAAGAAAACATATTATTCCAGCTGATACTTTCTTTTTAAAACACCCATGTGATCATATTTCCTTAATAGCATGTAAATATAAATTATTAAAAACAGAGCTCACTTGTCTTCCTTCTATAGCTGTCAATCACAAACCTTGGCTGACATTATTCTTGGACTAGTTATGGGAATAGTAAAATAGGATGTGCTTTATAGGACTTAATTTGCTCTTTTTTTTAATAATGGGGACTATAAAATACTTGGAGGACACCGTGTCACTTTGGCTGGTATCATTAAATAGAAACTGCCAGGGCTGGTCCTTCCCCCAATTTTTAAGTTGTAAAATGTGTTTGGCCTTTCACACTTTCATTTTGAAAGCATTTTTCATGTTGGTAATGATATGGCGTCTCCTCCCCCAGGCACCCACACATCCAGGGACTCTGAGCCCTTCTATAACTTTAAGGGAGAACATATTACATTTTACTCTCCTTACATAATAATGAACACACTGCATTCCTGTCCTTTAGGAATATATCTCACACATCCTTTCTCCCCAACACATGCAGATATTCAGCAACAAAGTAAATGTCACATCCATTGTCTCAGGTACCAGTCAGAGAGCTTAATATGCATTAAAGCCATCTACTTTAATCCTGAGAACAACCCTGAGAGATATGTAGGGAAAACTCAGGCTCAAAGAGGCGAAGGGTAATTTATAATTGCAGTTAGTGAAAGGAAAACTTGAATCTTGGCTGTCTGACTCCACAGCGATTCAGTCAAGAATAATTCTATAGACCGCTGTGTCCTGAGGAGGAATAATCAGCCCAGCCCAGTGGCAGAGGATATATGAAAAACTCCCCAGGGAAAGTGCTGCTTTACCTGAGACTTAACAAATCAGAATTATCCGGACACACAAAGTCTTCTCTCATCCTGATGATCAAGGCAAAGGGAGTAGCCTTGAACTAGAAGTTCCAACAGAGGCACCATGATGTCAGAGACACCAGATACCAAAGGGAGTTGTAAGGCACACAATAAAGATGTTTATAGGAAATACCCTATAATCAATTTCATAACTCTTGAGCCTCTGAACCTGGATCTAAAATGCTAAGAGATGGAGGAGATGAGAGGTTCTTGTAAAGATGTTTCTTTTGGATAAAGCTGAGCAGTGAGTCCCAAAATCTCCCTTGGGGGGATGTGCCTTCCTCCTCACCTTAAACTTGGAGAAGCTTCAACAGCACCATTTAGAGAGTTTGATATACTATATCCCCTGTTTATATGAATGTGAAGAGCAATAGGAAAGATGAAATGGGAGGAGAGCAAGAGTGAGAGTGAGCAAGAAAGAGAATGAATTATATTTGAGAAACACCTACACTTATTTTCATAGTGGGGCAATAAAAGCATAAATGTTTCCTATGGACCACAGATGGATTATGTGTGAGAGAAAACTGATATGAAACCATTTTCAGTTCTTCCCAAGAAAACCCATTAGGAAGTCTGGGAGATTCCAAGAAAGAGTAAGAGATCGGTAGGGGATGCACCTCCCCAGAACCAGGGGCTATGAGGGGAAACATTCACAGGAAGAAAATATACTTAGTACTTTAGCTATATCACAGAGGATTTGTGGGAAGGCAGTCTAGTATGGAAGTCTCTGAATATCTCCTGGCCTGGAAGTGACAACAAAAGAATGAATTAGTTTTAACCATCATCCAGGTGGAGAGAAGTCAAACCTCTTTAATATGGTAGCAACCAAAGAGGCATATTATTGTCACCCCTTTCTCACTCTTGCTCCCATGCCCCATCCCCACAAAGGTGGGTACAGTAAATGCAACTAGACTTCAGAAAAATGAGAAAAAAGGCAATATGCAATTCTGACAACTTCCTGGATCTCAGATTCTTGCTGGGCAGAAAGAAGTGATAAAAAGGGTTGGTTTTTAAGAGTGAGGGATTGATCACTCAAAAGTAAAAAGAAATCTGTATGTTGGATGGAACAAGTAAATATTTCTGTGAATTAAAAAATATGTAGATTTTTTTCATCCAGTATTTTATCTCTATGTGTTCTAGATTCCCAGTCTCAAAGAGGCCACAATTCATCTCATCATTCCCATGTCCTTAGGAAAAAATCAGGAAATAAACTATTTTTTACAGGATTTTTAGATATTTTATTTTTTGTTAGAGTAGGTATATTCCAGGGTCCTTACCCTGCCAATCCTGTTGATGTTAGTTTAGAACAGGGGTGGGAAACCTTTTTTCTGCCAAGAGCCATTGGGATATTTATAACCACTCGTGGGCCATACAAAATTATCAACTTAAAAATTAGCCTGCTATATTTGGTCAAACATTTAATTAACTCACCCCTAATGCCTGGGCAGGGCCAGACCAAATGATTTTGTGGGTCTTTTATGGCCAATGGGCCGGGCAGTCCTCACCCCTGGCTTAGAATAATTAGTTTTATCACAAAATATAATATACTTCAGTACTTTTGAGAAATGCTTCAAAGTTCTATTTTCATTTTAGTGATCTGAAATTATAAGCACTTCCTGGGTCATCATAACAATCTCCTTATAATGGAGATCCAAATATCTACTAATTGTGAGCTTGAAATGTTCCAGTTTTAATCTATACTAATAAAAGGGTATTATGTTTCCAGACAAAGCCATGGTGGTGGGGGCCGAGGCAGAGTCAGTTAGGGGCTATCAGTCAGGCAGGGGAGCAGTTAGGGGGCGATCAGGTCGGCAGGGGAGAGCAGTTAGGCGTGATCAGGCTAGCAAGGGAGAGCAGTTAGGGGCGATCAGGCTGACCGGATTTCGAGAGGGATGTCTGACTGCCGGTAGTCGGACATCCCCTGAGGGGTCCTGGATTGGAGAGGGTGCAGGCCAGGCTGAGGGACCTCCCCCTTTACACGAATTTTGTGCACCGGGCCTCTAGTAGATATAAATAAAAATACATTCCAGAGCAATCTTGGTCATCATTTTTTGTTTTGTTTTCATGTACTTTTGAGATATTTTATGAAGATTATTAATTTAATCTACCATGTATTTCAAAGAAACATTGAAAGTGATCATAAGAAATGGGGAAATATTTGCATGTTTGGCTATCAGTATTTCTCAGTGGGGGTACTCTTAACACTTTGAATAGGGCAGTTCTTTCTTAAGCAGGCTGTCTTGTGCATTTCAAGCCATTCAGCAGCACTGGCTACTGACCACTAAATGCTGGTAGCAGATTCAATCATTGGATTAACCACAAATGCTCTCAGAACTTCTTAAACTCCATTGGAAATTTAAAATACCTGGAGAAGTTCACTGACATTGTTTTAAGTTATTTTGTTAGCATAAGATATTGTGGGAGAAGGCTAAGAGTTAGTTCTAGTACTTACATACACATTAAGTGTGACTTTTTTTAAAAGTGCGGCTGATTAGGGTGAGACTAGAGTGAGGCAAAAGAAGCATATGTGTAAAATTTGCCTGAAGTGCAAAATTTGAGACATTTCAAAAATTCAGTAATTAAAGCAAATATTACTTAAAGATTAATTTTTAATTAAGATGACCTCAATGCACTCTTTTACCAAATTAAAATTAATACAAAAATATATGATTGACAAAATAATAAAATGTAAAAAAAGACAGAAACTGATCCTATACCTGCACAACTCAGCCTCCTCACCCTAATCCTGCCGAATTCCTTATCAGTCTTCCTAAGGTGTTTTGTATCCTTTTCTCTGGCATCTTCATGGGTTTATTCTTTGCCTTTGGTTTTCTTTTACCCTTAGTTATGATGTGTGTAGGTGCATTTCTTTTTTTCAAATTTATCTTTCTTTCAGTTTGCTTAACTTCTTTCTTGATCCTGTAAGTTGATGCTTTTCCCAAATTTGAGAAATGTTGAGGTTTTATGTTTTTACATGAATTGTGTGCCCCACTCATTATAACCATTTTTCTTTTATGTAATGAACATACTTATGATAACTACTTCCACATATTTTTTGGTCAATTTCAGTGTCTGTGCTTTCTTGTGATCTGTTTCTTATGACCCTTTCTTGACATGATGCCCTTTTGTTTACTTCATGTGTTTTGTAATTTTTCAATGTTTATTGAAAATTTTGGAAGATGCATTTTGTATGAAGCATATTTTAGTTTTAAAAGTGCTGAGTTTTGTTCTGGTAGATAGTTAAACTACTGGCAGAACCTTTTTAATCTTTTAGATTTTGGAGAGGAAAGGATGTTCATGTTGCATGTGCAGGTTGAGCAGGTCTTATATCCAATGAATAGGGAGAACAGTGCTTATCGTGGGGAACACGTTCCTCTATTGAGTATACTTCCCAGAGCCCCTTTCATATCCCGATTCCTCAGACTGTAGATAAAGGGATTTAGCATGGGAGTGACCAGGGTGTACAATACAGCCACAATGACATCCTTGTTGCTAGAGTTGTTGGATGAAGGAAAAAAGTACAGCCCAATAATTGCTCCATAGTACAGAGACACCACAGAGAGGTGAGAGCCACATGTGGACAAGGCTTTGCAGATGCCTTTGGTGGAAGAGACTTTCAGGATGGTGGCCCCAATGCGGCCATAAGAAACCAGGATGCATATGAGTGGCACAGTAATGACCACCACTCCCACGGTGAGGATAAGCAGCTCATTGACTGTGGTATCTGAGCTGGACAGCTTAAGTAAGGTGGAGAGGTCACAGAAGAAGTGCGAGAGAGTGTTGTCTCCACAGAAAGAAAGACGGGCCAGGAGGAGGGTGTGCAAAAGAGCACTAGCACAGGATTGGACCCAGGACACAATTACTAGCAAAACACACAGGCTCTGACTCATGATGGTTGTATAGTGGAGGGGATGACAGATGGCCACATACCTGTCATAGGCCATTGAGGTGAGAAGGAGACTATCAAGATCCCCCCAAAATAAGAAGAAGTACACCTGGGAAATGCATCCAGCATAGGAGATGGACTGATCCTGAGTATACATATTCATGAGCATCTTTGGAGCTGTGACTGATGAAAAGGAGATGTCAGTGAAGGCCAAGTGGCTGAGGAAGAAGTACATGGGCGTGTGCAGGCGAGAGTCCAGCCTGATGAGCAGGATGATGAGCAGGTTGCCCAGCACCGTGGTCAGGTACATGCCCAGGAACAGGGCGAAGAACATGCCCTGATGCTCTGGCCGGATGGGGAGTCCCAGGAGGAGGAACTCAGACACACTGCTCTGATTATCCCCCCTCATGGTCTTCTTCTTTTTTGCTGTAGATGAAAAAAGAGATGGAGATGTTAAAGAATGTGAAATCATTATGACTGCAAAATAATAGAAATATAACAATTAGTCAGTACATGAATTTTAACCCAAATAACTCATGCTTTTTGCCCACTAATAGGCTAATAATGGTCTGATATCAGGATAGTATATGTTTACCTAGAAACCAATGCAATCTCTTCTGGAAAAACCATGAACCATAAGAATGATAATTATGTCAGGTCAGGTTCAACTTTGAGGAGTCTAGGAATTCATGACAGAAATCTGAGATTAGTAAATTAGGGGCAAGGCTAGTTCAGTAACCAGTTACTAGAAGCACTAGTGTAGGCCCTCCAAGGGGCCTGTTGTCCTTTCTTAACCTTCTGATGCCTCTCACACATGCTTTGGCTTTTTCTTATATTTTTCTGTCTCCAGCAATATTTCATTAATTGTTCTTATACCATGCTTTATTTCCTTGGATTGGGTCAATATTAGACAACCCAGTGGGCTGTTCTGTGTCTTCCAGAAATCAGGATTTGAGGACTTGATAGAAACATTACATATAACTCAAAGGCATTTAGGAGAAGCATCTATGTCAATAACATAATAAATCTAGCGACATAATAATTACATAGCCATCAGACCTTCTTTTAAGATAATTCCTTCCCACTTCTCAACATTTTCAGTCTAGCATCACTCTTTCTAAATGAATAGTCATGGAATGTGGAGAAAAACTTCTGTTTCTCTTCCTAATTCCCACCTTATTCTCACAGTTCTTACCAGATCACTCTTATTGAAGTTCTCAGAACACCAGGAAATACTTTCCCCCCAGTCATATCTTGGATCTGCCAAAGAATAAAGTTTGTAAGTGTCCACCTTTTTTACAGTTCCTATCCTATGCTAGTGATTCATAACTGATATTTTTCTTGTCATATTCTAACACTTCTTACACTTTGCCAATACTATCATTTCTCTCTCTTTCAGGTCAATAATTTTAGACTTGCCCATGTGATCACTCACAAAATAATAGGGAAAGAAAACAGCAAGATCTAAGTATTAAAAAATAGAATCCACATATTATGTAAATATTCAATCTAAAGATCCTTCTCTTTGAAAGCTGAGAAAGTATGTCACTGTAGGACTCATCATTCATCTTGGGGGTTAACTAAAGTTTACATTATCTACCAATTCTTCCAATTTGACTGAAATTATCTCTAAAATACATTCTTTAGTCTATTACATTAACAGTCCTGTTAATTTAATGTTGTTACCTGAGATGAATTGCACATTCAGTTTCGCTAGTCATTCCCATGTTAATAGTAATCAGTTTACCTACCACAATGACAGGGCTAAGTAGCTGTCTGATGGACGTTTTGTTTGTTTCTAATATTCTTCTGTTTCTAACAATATTTCACTAATAACATTATTTATATGCCATTTTCATATTAGTATATGTATTTGAAGGAAAAAACTTAGAAATGGAATAGGAGGATGTACATTCACAATTTTGATAGATATTGTCCAATTACAAGAGGCTAAGGTGGTGAGGAAACCTTACCTTATGTGTTCTTTAAGATGAGTCCTGAAAAATAAGAGCATGTCATGTGAAGATTATAAAAATGGTATTTCTAGTTAAGTGGAGTAGACAGGGCTATGACGTTTGAGGAACAGAGACAATTCAGGAGCATATCAGCATGGGAACATTATGAGGTTGGAGATTTGTCTGGGAACCAGATTATGTAAGGTCTTTTCTGCCATAATGGAAAGTTTGTATTCTATTTCAGAGCAACAGAACACTCGTGAAAATGTTTAAAGAAAGGCATGAATGCAAACATTTAAATAGTATGCTGGCTCCTGGGCAGAGAACAGATGATAGCAAGGCAAGAGCGTTAGCAGAAATATTAGGATGACATAGCAGCAGTTCAGGTACAAAAGTGATACCTGCTTACACCTGGATTATAGCAGAAGATGAAGATCATTACAGAATTGGGATAAAATTGGAGGAAAAACCAGTAAGACTTAATGGGGATGAATGATAAGCAAGAGGAAGTATGTTTTTTCTATTCCATGGAAAATTAGAGGATCAGTTTGAGATAAATTAATCTACAGGGAGCTCTCTGTTATACTTTGGTGTGAGGTGCTGCAGGGACAGGCTAGAGACCAGAAACTTACATTGGACACACACAAACACACAAACACATGCAGTCACACTACTGAATAGTGATTCCACTCCTGCTCTGATATTGCCTTTTAGGTAATGAGCACTTACACTTTCAGCTGCAGCATCAGAAGGTTCCACTATTTCTCTCTAGAAGACACATAATACAGTGAAGCAGGTGGAGTCTCTAAGGGTTTCAAAGATACATCGCAACAGGGAGAAGAATTCTTGGTTAAACCCATATAAGATAGATATGTAGACATACACTTGTTTAACACTCTGAGCAATGGGTGTGGGTTCTAACTTAATAGGTTATGGAGAAAACCCAGGTGGTGGGGGTGGCCAACTCTACACCCCCCGCCTCCAAATTAGAGACAAACTGGAATAATTGCTTTTTTGCCTTTAGTTCCCTTGAGGGGATAACTGTTTGTTGATAGCAGGCACTTGGAGAGTTCATCCTTGGAGGCACAATGCTAATAACCACAACGCAGCTACTAGGGACTTGGTGATTCCAAAAGGTTTTTGTCTTCTCAGTTGACATTAGGGAAAATGCAATTCCAAGTTCATAACAAACCAAACTGGAAGTTGAGTGTGTTAGTGAATCTCTCTTGTTTCTGAACCCAGTGCTATTTCAAGAACACCAGAAACACGCTAATACTTTTACTCTCTGAACAAAAGGTTGAGGGGCATTATAGCCCACCGTCACAATGGGACCCTGGGGAATGGACCATGGTTTCTATAAATCCTGGTCTCCTGCTTACATATGTAAATGTGCTTATACACACACACAGAAAGAGAGACAGAAACAGAGAGAGATGTGTACACATAAAAATAAAACTGTAGAAATTTAGTGAAATCATAAGCATAAAAGTCAGGCTATTCATTTCCTTTTAAGAGAAGACAGAGAGGCAGGATTTGAAGGAGCTCATGGGTAGAGTCAAATGATGCTTTTAAAAAAAAAATTAAATAGTCTACATTCTTCTCATATTTTATTATAATATATAATACTTTACATGCTCAGATATTACTGAACTAGTCCATCCATTTGAACAAATACATATGAGTACACAAAGCATTGACCTCACTCCACAGAGTTTCTTTGAGCCCCTTCCCATTGACATCCTCTAGGAGCTACCAGTAATCTCTCTTTCTCTTTTTAATAAAACTTCTTTATTGTTGAAAGTATTACATATGAATCCTTTTCCCCCCCATTGACCTCTCCCGCTCATTCCCACCCCCTCAGCACATGTCCTCACCGCCCCCCCTACTGAATGGGCCCATGAGTTATGCTATGTGCTTGCATACAAGTCCTTTGGTTGATCTCTCTCTCCCTCCTCTTCCCTGCACCCCATAGCAATAAGTGAAAACAGTTCTGGAGGTCGCTCCAGCTCTGGCACTCTAGCTGGTGCTAGAGAGGGCGATGGAGCTAGCTCTAGCTCTGAGACTGGCTCTAACTTAAAACTTGTGCTAGTTCCAACTTGAATAGGTGGCAGAGCTGGTGGTACTGGATGTGACTCTTATGTCTGGAGCTGGCTCTAGCTGTGGACTGACTCTAGATTTGGTGCTGATGCTGAAACTGGCACGGTAGCTGGCTCTAGCTCTGGGACTGGTGATAGACTATGTTCTACTAGGTGTACCGGTTAATAATGCGGATTTTTCCAATAGATGGAGTTTCACATATGTTGATATATATGCGATTTGATATGTATGCTATTTTGTTGTATTGACACCAAGCTTCAAAACTTCATATTTCAAATTTTCTGAAGGTGTTAACATCATAGATATTTTTTCGCTTAAAAATGTCGAATTTTGTGCCAAAAAAAGAGCATTTGCGGCAAGTTTTAATTCATTACTTTATTTTGAAGAAAAGTGCTGCTGAATGTTATCGTATACTTCGGGAAGCTTATGATGAACATGCTCTATCTCAAGATACTTGTGAATGCTGGTTTAAACACTTTAAAAGTGATGATTTTGATGTGAAAGACAAACAACGTCCAGGTCAATTTGAACCACGCTTTGATCGTAAAGCGACCAGAATGGTCCAGAAGACACAGCAAAATAATTTGCTTCATGATAACACACCATCACACACTTCAAAACCAGTTAAAGACACGTTAAAAAATCTTGCCTGGGAAGTATTAACTACCTTCCCCCCCGCCCCCCCCCCACCGTATTCACCAGACCTTGCTTCTTCAGATGACCACTTGTTTTGATCCATGGCACACGCACTTTCTGAGCAGCACTTCAAAACGCATGAAGAAGTGGAAAATTGGGTCTCTGAATGGTTTGCCTCAAAACAAGAAAAGTTCTATTGGGACGGTATCCACAAATTACCTGAAAGATGGGGAAAATGTGTAGGTAACAATGGACATTACTTTGAATAAGGCGTTTTTGATGTTTCTCTTGAAATTATCGTGTTTTCTTTGATTACAAAATCTGCCATTATCAACCGGTACACCTAGTAAACTTGGCACTTAAAATGGAA